AATCTTACCTGATTCTTATCGGATTCGTACGAAATTCTTGCCATTTTCGTGCGGACTTCTTATGTAAGAATCCGATAAGACTCGGATAAGATTCTTACCAGAAATAGCAAAAAATGTTTGTCTAGGGAATAGCCTATAACAAAATATCAACAAATTATTTAACATTCAAATAGTTTTTAAGTAAAACGCATTTAACAGAATCGAAACTTATTTTGCATTTTTCTCGAAACGTGTTTTTTGCTTGGCGAAACTCACTGTCCAGCAAATTTTCCCGTAACGAAAGGTCAGAATGGATCTTTTTTGAAATTGTAGCTAAGACATATGGGAACACCGTAACAGAGCCCGATTTTTGATTTAGACCGTCATTCTTTTACAATATTGAAAGTTACATACCAATTTTTGAGGTGAAATCCTTCAGAAATTAAAACAAAGAAAAAACTCAAAAATCCCACTCTGTTACGTCGTTAATCTAACTTCATTTTACACCTCAAAACCAGTCCGATCACCCTGGTTTAATCAGAAAAACTACAAATATATTTTGTAAAATTTTCGATAAGTCACAAGATTTTCTTGCAGTTAGAGAAAGAAAATACTTTTAATTTGTAGATAACAATTGTTAAGTGCACGATAAGCATATGACTGAGGTATAACCCAAAAAGAAAAGAAAAACAATCTTGCTTTGTATACCTGATCGTTCAAGATTACAAATAAAAAACGAGTAAAATTGAACATTTTTTAATCACCCATTAGACTTTAGTCGCTTTTACAATATATGTAGGATTTCCAAAAGTGAATTTGGGACCCACCATTTGAATATCAATTAATCCATTTTCAATAAAAAATTGCTTATACTCTTTATATTTTTTAATATCCATAAGAGCAATTTGTCCATTTGGTTTACAAACTCGAACAATTTCTTTTAGAGCGTCTAATCGATCTTGTTTTCGTTTTAAATTATGTATCGCCCAACTAGACAAAATTAAATCAAAACAATTATCCGAATAGGGTATTTGTCTCATATCGGCTGTTTTTATTTCAACTCTCGTTTGTACATTTTCAATTTCAATATTTTTTAATGTTCGTTGAATTTTGTTGCCACTTTGATCGTTCACATCCCAAATATCAATCCCATATACTTTACCTAAAGATGGAACTCTTTTCGCTGCTCCAATTAATAATAGTCCACTTCCACATCCAACATCGAGTATTTTATTCATATTGTTCCATTGTATTGAATCTAGAAGCCAATCGCGTGCATGAAATTTAAATATTAAACTACCTAATGGTAAACTGATAACAGGATAAAATATAAATATTCCACTAATAATGAATGTATATGTTAAAATTTGATTTATAATATTGAGTATTTGTGATGATTTTGTTGGTATAGTAAAATGACAAATAATACCAGCGCTGATCAAACTTACAGAAATGAGAAAAAAGTTTCGAATCGCTTGCGGGGCATCTAAACCATAGTTTGCTTTCTGATGCAATGTATCTGTTTCCATATCTAAAGCATATTAATGACAAGTTTTCAGTAGAAGTTCAATTTAACAATAATGCACTTCAAATAGTTTAATATTATACAATCTTTAGAGTTTTTAATGGTACACTGAATTTGTTTGTTTATTTACGGTTAAGATAAACTAAAATAATTTACACAAACTCAACAGCAACGATGTATTCAGATGTCGAAGTTATGTAGTGAATATAAAAAGTCCTTTGCTTTTTTCTTTTCTTTTTCACAAAGAAAATCGACAAAAAAGTGTGACTTATGATTCATTCTATATATTCATCTAAAAACATCATATACAGAAAAGAGAACATAAAAGTCGACTTTATCAGCATGTCTGATGCTAAAGAAATTATTTGTTTCTTTTCCTCTAATTCACGATAAAATTTCAAGGTAATATTCCGTTTTGCTTCGGAAATGTAATCGTGTTCTCAGATATTTCCAGTAAGGTTAAGGAAATTCAAAAGTCGAACGCCAAAGCTTCAACTCCTTTTTAAAGACAGATAGAGCCAATATTGTGCCATGGTTAGATTCGCCACGTTGCACTAATAAAAGTTAGGTACCCTTTTTTTGAATTCCTTTCCGTTGCTGAAAAAATTCATTTCTTCTAAATCAGAGCCGAAAATGCTTCTAATTCTCAATTTTCGTCATCAAAACTCAACTTTTAAGCAATAGAAACATAATATTCAGAATCAGGATCCAAAACTGAGTCGACTGATATGTATTTTTATCCTATTCAGTCACTTCAGTGTTTGTCGAATTTTAGTTGATTTTCATTTTTTGCTGAAAATCTTGATAATTTTTCAACGTGAAAATTCGACACAACCTAACGTGGTTGGATAGGATAGAAATACACATCAGTCGATTCAGTTTTTTGACCCTGAATCCGAATAGGATATTAGGTTAAAAGTTGAGTTTTGATGAAGAAAATTGAGAAGAATTCAAAAAAACAACACCTAGCTTTTATACGTGGGGAACCTAACCATGACAAAATATTGGCTCTATCTCTCTTTAGAAAGGACTTGAAGCTTTTAGCAAGAAAAACAAGTGGTTTTCGAGATATCAGAAAAATCCTCAATTATCATCCATCCGAATGACAGGTGAATGATCAGCAAGTAGATTTTTCAATTCAGTTTTTCACGTAGATTAAGAAAAAAAAACTTACACGAGTTGCTTAGACAATGTAGGCCGTTTTTCATAAATTAGACGGTTTTTCGAACTTTCAAGTTTTGCAGGTTTTTTGAGTTTTTAACCACAAAAATATATATTTTTGTGGTCAAGTCATACCTATTCGAATTTAGCGCAGCCAGCTCTATCCAACCGTGAATAGAAATCGCAAAAAGAAAAGGCGCATTTGAATTTCCTTAACCTTAATAAAAGTGCAATTATATACGTTTTGAGTTGTACTTGAAATGATGGACGATTAAAGGAGTCCAGTATTCACTCACTGTAGAAAGAATGGTGTTTTCTTCGGCCACGAGAATTTTCTGAAAAACTCACTTTTATGACTCTATTTGGGAAACGAATATAGTTACGAAAATAGACTGAAAAACACAAAACCAATATGTGCGTTAGAATCGCTTTTTGATACTCTATCTAACCAAGCGCTTTTCAATTTTTCAAAGTGTGGTCCGAAAATACAAAAAGGACATCTTCAAGGGCTGACTTTCCAATTTTCGCAATTTTGCGAGTCTATATGAGAAAACATTCTCAAACGGAGCTATCACAAACATATGGTTCATCAATAGCTAATGCGTCTAAAAAGCCTCATAACTTAATAGTAAGTTATGAGTTGATAGTAGTGATTATAGTTCAAATTTCATAAAATTTTTCATTTTTATGTAACTTCTGGGTTAATAAATTCACTATCCAAGTTTCCTAAATTTTATGAAACTCGGGAACAGGTTTCATAAATGTGAGATTTATGAAGACAGTATATCCCATTTTTCTGACAGAAACTTTCTTGATAGATAAGACATTATTTCGTACATGAAGACTTGGAAAGTATTGCATACACACCCGATGAACGGTAATGAGATAATATCAATAAATGAATTTCTCATTTTATCACACTGCAAGAAATTTTATTTCAGAGATAATAATTCCTATTTGAGAGTTGAAGATCGTTATGAAGCAAGTGATGTTGTTATATCCATTGATGGTAATCATCTTTATGTTATATTTGATAACATATATTCTATTGGTATATTCTGTACAAACGCAGCTCCATCGACATGTCGTGATCAGTTATTATCATGACCCGATTTATCTGCTGAAAATGAAGAAGACTAAGAATTAGAAGGTCTAGTCTATAATTATATAAATGATACGTACTATATTATTCAAGAAACGATGTATGTCAACTATATATTAAAATCAGTTTGTTTTTGAAGTTAAAATTCATCAACAATACGGCAACAATAATTGAACAAACAATAACAATAATAGAAAGATGTATAGTTGATATTGTATTCGAATCGACGAGTAAAGGCATAGAAGGGTTAGAATTTATATCGATGAATGGTAATCAGTATTTGCTTGGTTTATGCGAATCAAATAATTGTTTATTCAACGGAGAACGAGGACACGACATGGTACTCATACTTGGAAAAGTCTACGAGAATAATAGTGAATTTATATGGAAAATTCAAGGTAGAATACCTATTCCCAGTAGTGCTAATTTAACTGATTATTCATCGATTTCTTTCCATACTCGTGGCCATTTACCGTTATATGTTGCAATTACAAGTCAAGAAAATAGTCGTTTATGGATTGGAATAATGGATACCGAATTAAAGTTAACATCGGGCAAAATGAATTCATTTCCTCAAAGTGATTATCAATGTTCAATTAAATATTGTAACGTAGAAGGTATCGCATGGAAAAGTAAACAGCAATTGTACGCTGTCTCAGATAAAATGAAAAGTAATGGGCTGCAATCGTCACTTTGTTGGGAGAAAGATCAAAATATACATTTATTTCAATTGCCAAAATGATTAGACTAAAGACGCTACATTTTTACTCCACTTGCGTTATCGTTCCTAAATATTTTCATAGCTACACTTTACTACAATGGCATTTACGATCGTACTATCACAATTTATTCAACCTTTTTACATGGAAATGGAATTTGTTATTCAAAAATCAACGTGTATATCTGATTTGTAGGAGAGGTATGTCTACGCACCACTTCATCCATATTCGTTTTGCTTTTTCTATACATTATTCCTACTGTTTCTATCGGTTTGATAACGCTCATTGTCCAAATGAACGACATTTATAATTTATGATATCTGTCTTTGACGTACTTATATTGTCTTTGCTTTTACAGTACTGTCGAAATAACCCAAGCAAAAAAATGCCTTTGAGATTATCTAGCTATAAAAATATGTTATCGGGCAATATCGGCTTGTGATAGCTAGCTATCCGTACCACTTTTATTGAGTTAGCTAGCTATATCGAGTATGATA